GAGAGAGAGAGAGAGAGAGAGAGAGAGAGAGAGAGAGAGAGAGAGAGAGAGAGAGAGAGAGAGAGAGAGAGAGAGTTTTCCAGCCATGCATGCTATGAACTTGAGGAGTCCGATGCTGTGAGGAGTCCGATGCTAGATCATGAAGGATACCCTGTCTTGGTGCTGGTCTTGGCCTCGCTGTGAGGAGTCCGATGCTGGTGGAGGTATTAGCATGTGCTTGAAAACATCCTGGATGCCATAGCCGTCTGATGCCCGGGATGCCCTTGTCAAGATGCAGCTGGAGACCCGTCTGGGTGCATTCGTCCATGGACAAAGAGATCAATTTACTATGGAGTTAGCATGGATTATTCACTCAATATACATAGCATATGTGATAGTGCATTTGAACCTTTTCTTTTTATTGTCTACAACAAGTCGGCCCATCTCTCTCTCTCTCTCTCTCTCTCTCTCTCTCTCTCTCTCTCTCTCTCTCTCTCTCTCTCTCTCTCTCTCTCTCTCTCTCTCTCTTGCGCGTGCTCGTGCTCGTGCTCGTGCACGAAGCCCCTCTCTTCCTCTGTTGCAGTGCCTGTCTCTCTCTTCCCCCTTCTCTCCTCTTTCTCTCTCTCAGCCTCTGCCTCTCTCCCAACCTCTCTCTCCCACCCTGCTTGTCTCCCTAGCCGGCATTGCACGGCTGTGTGGGGTGCGGTTTGTGCTGCGTGGCGCCTTGCAGCAGGAATTTCTCTTGCTCGTGCAGTTCTTTTTGCACCACACGCTGGTTTCTCAGCCTCCCACTCAGCTCCAGTACTGCAACCATCCTGGTGCCAGTTTTACCATGGGCCCAGCGGGCCCCATCTCCCTGGGCCAACATTTTGCTTCAATTCTCATGTAGAAAGCAATCACACATTTACATTCACAAGCAAACACAAGCATTCAAACTCAAGCAAATGCACATACAAAAACACAGATGTACATTCACATGCACACATGCACATTGTTTGCTTGTTTGTCTGTTCCCTATCTATTTTCTCCGTGCTCCCTCCAGTGTCCAAGGGCAGCGCCTTTGAGATGTGCCAAACAGTCAGTGCCTGTTTGTTGGGATCGTCTGCAGCACTATTAGCGGAGCTACTGTGTTCGGAATGCCTGTCTGTGTGTTTCCTGGTCGTGACAGACATTCGTCTTGCAGCTCCCCGGCTCTTGATGGTGGCGTGAACCTACAGTCCGGAGAGTTTTCCATATGATGTGAATAGACGATAGTTCACTTTCATCCTTCCCGCATCCATGGATTTCTGTGCTGTTCTGTCCATCTTGCTTGGCTTCATACATGTCTTGCTGTGTTTCTGTGTGCCATGCTGCGTTCCTCCGTGTGTTGCTGTGTGCCCGCTCATCCGACCGCCTGCCCTCCGGCTTGTATTGCTATATGCTGCCCACTTCCTGGTGCATACCATGCTCCGTGCCTTTCCGTGTTGCTGTGTGCTAGCCTCCCGGCACTCGTGCTTGCCTGGTGAACTAGAGCTAGAAATTTCAAATTAGTATAAAACAATAGAATAGCATGGGCAGTATCCAGACTGGTTTCAGCATGGATTAGCCTACCCATGGTGCAAACCGTGTGTGGGCAACTTCCCAATGAGCAAAATCCCCGAAGCTATTGAACACGTCTTTATGCAATGCCCGGGTGCCGTATGAGCCTGGAGATGGTGGGATTGCATCTGGCGACAGAAGGGCACGAACACTCAGTGACCATGGGACTGGAAAGCCGTCCTTTGTGGTGCCTGGCACCCTGACCCTCCGAACCCCTTCACCTCTAACCTTTTTGAGCTGGAGAGGAGGGCGGTCTTATGGGCCATTTGGAGACGCAGGTGCATACTGGAAATGGAAGGGGTAAGGACAGAAGGGCCGGAGTTAACAGAACTCATCAAGCAACAGATAGAAACGGACATAAGGGAACGATGTGACGCTACAAAAACAAGATTGCATTGTTACATAACAAGCAGGAAATCAAAACAAAAATTAAACAGTTCTGCAGCAACTGGCTGGAGGGGGACACAGGGGGTTGGGTTGCAAGGGTGGATTAGGCAGGTGAGGGCCAGAAGGAAGAACAGGAGGAACTCAAAAGGGACTACAAACTCTCCTCTAATGATTGGACAGTAGTCGACCCCACAATCCCAATGCGTCCCCTGTCTGACTTCCCTGACCCTTTCCCCCCCCGTTCCCTTTCCCTGGTTGATAGACAGTGGTATGCGCAGGACTGAGTGGAGGGGGGTGGGGGATCAGGGGGCAGAAGCAAGTGTGCCAGGGATAAGGTGTGCTGGGCAGACAGCCCCGGGAGCAGGCACCCCTACAAAGGGGTGAAGAGGCACCGGAGCAATAATACCCTTCCCCCCTGTCCCCAAACGTTTCCTCTGCTGAGATTGCGATGTTGACATTTCATAAGGGATGCTGGGCCCGGTTCCCAGCACGTGATGCTCCCCACGAAGATCGGAGCTTTGTGTTTCAAGTTTCAACAACAACAACAACAACAAAAAACAAAAAACAAAAAACAAAAAAAAGCATGAGCAGTATCCTCAATTTGAGTTGCACATGAGCAGTATTCTCAATCTGAGTTGCACATGAGCAGAAGGATTGGGTTATCCTCGACAGTGTTCATTGAGGGAATGTCGGGAGGAAGATTGGTTGCGCGATGAAATTAGAGCTCAGATCATCTTCTTCTTCTTAATGGTGTTTCATTGTCTTCTTGCCTTGGCAGCCTTGCCCATGCCGCGCTGCATGCCTTGCTGTGTTTGCACGTGGGCAACAGGGTCTGAAGCAGGTATGACTCCAAGAATTGTCAGCAATCTGCAAACAGTCAAGGGTTCAGCCTCCTGGTGAGTCACTGAAAGTCCAACAAAACAGTCTGTCACTACTCCTGTGTTCTTTCTGTGGTGCATCATTTTTTTTGTGTGGTCCGGTCCGTCCACAAACTGCATTTGAAGCATGGTTGTTGCTCTTCTGATTCGCACCATAAGAGTGCCACTTGTTTCTTACTTCCATCTCGGGACATGCCGAAAAAAAGTGTTTCATTGCTTGGTGGTGTGGTTCGCATCATAAAACGCACCAACACACAGACGGCCGATCAGCCCTACTGGTAGCCTGCAAAACGGTTGGAAGTCGGTGTCGGCGGTCGGTAGGTATGCAACCCTGTGTGTATTGAAAAAAACAAAAGAAAGGTTTCACAGCAGCCTCATCAGCCTCCAGTTCCCGAAGCTGCAACTGCGGTGCAAGCCTCACCTTTCACAGAAGCTGATCGCAGTTTTGAGTCTTTTGACAGCAAGAGTCCACAGTTAGCTCTGGGTTGTTAACACATCATGGTACAGCAGAAGAATATCAATTTTTTTACAACTCACAGCATGCAGGTTCCTTCACCAAGTACCCAAGAAAAAAAGCATCAGAGTTCCATGTCCCAGGTCCCAGTGTCCCAGGTTGTACAGGTGTGTCTTATAGAAAGAATACCTGGAACGGTGACAGCGACCCCCAAACAGTCAACATATTGCCATTTTTGTCATAACATAGAAAAATAATGCCCATACAAACCCCCAAATAACACTTGACAGCGACAAGGTACCTGGTGCGCCCAATCAATCAGAAGCAAGCTTGATGTCCCCAACCAATCAGAAGCAAGCTTGATGTCCCCAACCAATCAGAAGCAAGCTTGATGTCCCCAACCAATCAGANCTTGATGTCCCCAACCAATCAGAAGCAAGCTTGATGTCCCCAACCAATCAGAAGCAAGCTTGATGTCCCCAACCAATCAGAAGCAAGCTTGATGTTCCCAACCAATCCAATCAGAAGCAGGATTGAAGTTAGGTGTCATTCCTTGCCCACTTTGGAAGGACCTTATATGGATTTAGTATCCCTTTGGGGTCAAAAAGCGTCTTCACACTTCCCATGAGCTTCACTACATTCTCCGGTTTGCTATACGTGATTGCATCTGCCTTCATTCGGCCAAGACCATGTTCGGCACTTACGCTCCCTCTCCTTGCTGCGATCCACTCAAAAACATAGGGTTCGATCTTTGAAACAACCCTCTCATCATACTTCGGCACCACAAAATTCAGATGCAAGTTACCATCACCCAAGTGGCCGAAGCCTATCACATCAGCCTCTCCTTTCAGCCGAGCGCGCATTTCGTCAACTAGTTCGTAAAAGTGTATCATCGGGATCGACAAATCGTACTTATAGTGAGCACCCGCACGTTGCAGGGCATGACCTACTCCCTTGCGTATGTGCCATAGTGCCGCCATTTGCTCTTCGTCCTGTGCAAGCAGCCCATCCACGAACAAACCGGACCTCTTGGAATTATCAACAAACGCTTTCATCTTTGATCTGTCGTGCTCTTTATTGCTCCCCGATGTTTCTATCAAGATATAGAATGGCTGCCGGGAGTCCGGGAGGGGGTCACTTGTGTCCTCTATGTGCTTTAGAACCAAATCAATCGACTGTCTATCCAGGACTTCGTAGGCTGACAAGATTTCTCCCAATTCCTTACGAGCGGCCGAGAATGTCCGCTTCACATCTTCAAACGAGTTGCACGCAAGGAAGGCCACATGGACGGAAGAAGGTCGGCGAGCCGCCAAAATTGCCGCTTTCGTAATCACACCTAAGGTTCCCTCTGCACCGATGAACAACTGCTTGACGTCGTACCCTGTGTTGTCCTTTCTGACTTCAGACATCATGTCCAAGACTGTTCCATCAGCAAGAACCACTTCTAGTCCCAGAACCAAAGCACGAAGCGATCCATAACGCAGAAAGTGGATGCCTCCCGCGTTTGTGGAGACGTTCCCTCCAATCTGACAAGTCTTCCTTGATCCGAAATCCCATGGCATTGTGTGCCCTTTCTCTTCCAAGAAGGCGTCAACATCCCCTAAAGTGCACCCTGCCTCACAAGTCAGAATACCGCCCACCTCATCAAACGAAAGAACTCTGTCCATGGAACCCAAGTTCAGAATAACCTCGTCGAAGACGGGCACGCTTCCCCCAACCATTCCCGTGTTCCCTCCTTGCGGAACAACCGGCAATCGTCTTGCATGGCAGTGTTTCAGAATCATCGATACCTCGTCAGTGGTCCTTGGTCTGAGGACGACTTGCCCGGACCCCTTGTACCTTCGCATCCAGTCCGTGTTTGCCAAATCGAGAACAGCTTTATCCGTAATCACACCTGCACTGCCAATGGTGCGCGTAAAGAATTCAAGGTCGTCCGCATCTAATCTAGCAAAGCTTGCATCCCTTATGATCTCTTCCTTTCGAACTCCAGTGGTTTCTGTAGACCTGCTGGAGAACTCCCTGCTGCGAACATGTGTAACGCAATGATAAGAAGGAATGCTGCCAAGCTGGTTGCAATGCCGGGAAACAGGAAACGAGCATCGGCATCGAGAATCTGCACACCAATCAAGCCCCAGTGAACGTGAAACACACGTTGGACGACATACGTGACCAAACTCAGATGGCAAACAGAGGGATTGCACAGAATCCCCCTCCCCGAGCTGTGGAGGATTGAAGGAAGAGATCCAGCCGCAGAAGTGCCTCCTGCGGGGCCCCTCATACCTATCTATCAATCTAAGGTTGAATGGGTTGGTTTTCGGTTTCAATGGATGCTGTACATGAGGGAAAGTATGGTGTGATTGTCGGAGCGGTAGTACTTCTGACAGCGGTTCTGAGAGAGAACCATCTCGCTCCACAGGTGGCACTTCCGCAAATCTCTGACGCAGCATTTCTGAGATAGAACCAGCTGGTTCCACAGCTGGTTCCACAGCAGGTCCCACAGCTGGGCCCACAGATGGTCCCACGAGCCTCTGACGATGATCAGCAAGAAGAGGGTGATGGCTGGCTGCTTCCACAAATCCGCGGTTGGAAATAATCGCCAGGTTTCTCCATCTGTGTCGGCCACATTCTAGCCGCTGTAGGACGCAAGGCGCCAAGGAGCGACAGGTAGACCTCAACATTCTCGCTCGTTGTCAACAGGAAATAATGAGCTACCGACAGAGTGGGGATGTGATGCCAAGTTCTCGATCTGTTTTATGAATTGAGCGCAAAGCAAAGCTGAGAATGTTGAGGTGGTGGACTGCTTCTCTGAGCTTGATGATCATGCCAGAAGCCTGCTTTGGAACATTCTTGCATGGGCGCAAGGAGTTCTGCAACTCCCTTGAGAGGAGCTAGGTCTACATGATAAGCTAAGTCCAGCTCCGCAGTGCAGAACGCAGCTCAGCAGTGCAGAGTCCAGCTCAGTGGCACAGAATCCAGATCAGCAGCACACAGTGCAGCTCAGCAGGGCAATTGGAGAGCAAGGCTGAGCACATCATCGAGTCATTTGCATAACTGGCCACCAGTGCTGTCGTGTAACAGTTCGTCTATGAGTATGGAATGCTAGAAACAACCCGGATTTCTGCTCAGCAGATAAGTCGCAATTCGTGTGAACAAAGCGATCTCATATACATGTTACGCGACGGTAGTTTTCATGGCAATCGTGTACGTCATGGCATCCACGTCAGACAAAGAGAAATCAAGATCGACAAAAGGGACAACATAAGTACGAAATAACAAAATACTATACTATAAATGAGTCAAACTCTTATCCTGGGCATAAAGTCGATATGGGATTAAATAAATCCCTTGTCATCCGAAGAGCACATGCATTTGCAGCACTGATTTGTCTGAGAACACCATGTGCAGACAGGATGTGAGCAGAAGAACACAAGGAATGTTGATGACCACAGCAAATAAGCAACTACTGCTTCTGAGTCACCTGTATGCAATCAAATGCTTCTTTTTTTTTTTAATAGTATGCAATCAAATTCTACCAGGGCTTGATTGCCAATTTTTAATCAAAGCATACCCTGTACGCAGGTTCATATTCAAAATTTCAAATCCTACCAGGCCTGAGGGACCAGAGTCTAATCCTGCCAGATTCCTAGGACCCCGATCAAACCCTACCCCACCTGTGGGTGCACAATTTACAGGCTCATTTTGACCCAATGAATATTCGTAAAGAAACTCTGCTACTACCATCTTTACCCGAATAGAACGCCCGGTCATTATAGCTGTATTTGGGGCAACTTCCAGTCCAGATACAGTGATAATTACCAGGCATTCTATTCGGGTGAAGACGGTAGCCCTGATGGTCGATCAGCAAATGCTGCTATGTTCCGAAGACCACCATCACATACTGGTGAGGGGTAGCACACTTCAGAATTCAGATCTAACTGGCCTTTCAGATGGCCTGTAATATCCAAATCCTGTCCAGCCTGTGCATTTGCAATCTTAGCAAGACCAGACCCCTAGATTTGCAATCAGATCCTGCATAGGCATGCATTCTGACTGTGTATGGGCTCACGCCCCCTCACATCAATTTAACTACCATTAGTGCCGACTGCAACAGCAAACAGAGGGAAGCCAAAAATGATAAAATCCCTTCTCAGAGACGTGTTGAGGAATGGCAAGCTGAGTATGAACTCCAACAATTAAGCAAACATCTACGACCACTGTGACTCATATGATAATTCCCTAACTGCTTGTCCGACAGTCGTTCAATGCTACCCTCACCCGCTGCTCAAACTAAACCACCACTACTTCGGCATTTTGCAAAACCCTATGGAAACCTGCTGCAACAATTTGACTGGCCTGATATGAAAGGATCTGCTGAAAAGTTTGTGGCTGAGTGTCAAGTTTGTCAACGAATCAAACCATCAAGGCAAAAGCCCATGGGGCTGCTCAAACCTCTTCCCATTCCCCACGGTCCCAGAGACTTCGTCTCTATCGACTTCACAAACATGGAAAGACAAGTCAGAATGGTTACTCGCAAGTGATGGTGATTATTGATCGTTTTTCCAAATTCCTAAATCTGATTTCATTGCCACCTCATGCCCCAACTAAACGGGTGATCCATGAGTTCCACCAGAAGTACATTCTGCAGTTTGGACCCCGAAAACCCTTGTGAGTCATGAGGACCCGCACTTCATAAGTACTGATTGGAAGGACTTCAGGTCCCAACTCCCTGGCCTCAAACTAAAGATGACATCTGGTCGACATCTTGAAGCCAACGGTTTGGTTGAGGAAATTAACCAGATAGTGTTTCAGCTTCTTCGTGCCTTAATTATCCCGGATCAGGACACGTGAGATGAAGAGTTGTATTCGGTCAAGGGTTGTACAACAACTTCATTCATTCTTCCACTGTCACGATGCCAAAAAGGCTGCATTACGGTTGGCAGATCCGTAATAATCCACTCTCCTACTTATTCCCTAAACGGCCAGCCGCTCTGACACCTGGCAGGTTTGGCTTTAGCGCCCAGTATGATCGCTTGCTCAAGGTTGCCATTGCAGCAATGACCAAGCAACAACACGCCATGATCCATCATGGGAATAAGAAGCGCACACCTTCAACTATCAAAGTGGGAAGTTATGTCTGGGTCAAGATGTCAGAGTTTTCGGCGGAAGAGGGGGTGTCACGCAAACTTCTCCCTCTCTATTATGGTCCGTGGGAAGTTTTGGACGTGATTGGTGATGATAAGTTCGGTCCTTCACACATAATTGTAGTGCCACCTCATCTACACACGTACCCAATCTTTCACGCATCAAAGTTGTTTCCATATCGTGATGCTAAATCCTTTGAATACCATGAGAACATGATCCGTCGTGCAATCAATGGAGGTCACGAGATAGATAGAATTAAAAGTCACACTGGGAAGGGACATAATAAACAATATCAAGTCCATTTCATGTACCATCCATTGGACGATCTCTACTGGATCTCTAAGTGCGGAGTGCATCTCGCGTTGTGAAAGCATACGAACGACAAATAGCTTTCAATGTTGTTCCCAAAATCTCTGCAAAACGCATGGCCACTAAGTACCCACGGAATCTCTTCGCTATGTTTGCTTACGGCGCGTTTGTTTGGGACTCAGAATGAGTTACTCGCTCGATGGGACCTCGCTCTTGAGGGGGGCTTAGTGTAAGGACCTGCCAAATACAGACTGAGACACCACTCATTTCTGAGTTTTGCCAATGAAATGTACACCTTGCTGAATTTCCCGCTTGTTGCTGAGTTTTCTAAGTATGTGTGTGTACGTGCTTGCTGGTCTGCATGCCTGTCTGAGTGCTTGTCGGCTTGAGTGTGTGTGAGACCCGCAAGGGTATTCGTCCGTACGGGAGGCCCGAAGGGCCGGTACATACATGTGGTCGTGACATTGAGGGTGGCAGCGGGGAAACACTCAAGTGGCGGGGAAAGAGGCCTGCCACACACACACACACACACACACACACAGATATATATATATATATATATATATATATATATATCATCACAAACAGAACTGCGCGGTAAAACCGTAGGCAGAGAGAGAGAAGAGGACAACAAACGAGGGGCT